TCAGGTTGCTAAAAGAGAAACGCCGCCTGTGACCAACTCTCCATTTGTGTGCCACTTGCTTTTCTAATCTCCCTTTTTCATATGGGCTCTGTATACATGGAGGTTTAGCATATGAAAATACATGATATCACGACAGAGATTATGTGCTTTGATTGTACTGACAACAACTGTTAAGGGGCTATTCTACTTTAAGACAGACAAAACAATCAGTTATGGTCATTTTAATATTATGTGATGACCTGCCCCCTGTTTAACATGAGTGAATGAAACAAAACACAACTCCAGGTATGTTTGTATGTTTGTGATAAGGAAACATTATAACAGAGATCAGAAAATACTGTAAAATGGGTCCTTTAAGGTAAAGGGAAATTTGTCCTCTACATTTGACCCATCCTTCAATCACCCTGGGAAGCACCTTGGTAATTACTATGTTAGCTAGTTACTTCTACTTGAACATAACATATTTTACAGTCGAGTAAACTTGTCGAGTGAGCTTTATGTTGACAATGAACCTTTGCATTTCTTGCACTGTTCCTTCATATGTGATATAGTTTCGTAGTTTAGTTTACTTTGTCAAATATTTGATTTTCTGCAGTTTTCCCCTCTAAATTACAGATTATTTCAGATTATTATAGTTATGTTCTCTTACAATAAACTCTATTTTTTTGTTAAATACTTTTTATTCTTGAATTTTCTTGGACCAATACTAATTTTAAGTAATGTCATTCTTACACTTGAATGCAATTTTCTTATATAGACTTAATGTTCAGTATATGATAACTGGAACAATATATTTTGGGGCTCAATGTCGTGTGTACAATTTCTTCATGATAAGGAAGCCTAATCTATTCTATCTGTACTCCTACTGTATCTACCGGCTAATTTCAAGATACTTTTGCTATTGTTGTGTGAAACCTCAAGAAATACTCCACGTCTGAGCAATGGTCAGCTCTCCTTTTGTACTTTGGCTGCTGTACGCTCTTTGCATTTGGTATTCTTATCAGGCTCTTATCCTGTCCTATCTAGTGTCCTACATTGTCCTGTCCCGTCCCGCTCGTCCTGTGTTAAAGCGGAGGAGACAGAGCGTTGCCGGGGAGAGCGTTGCCGGGGCCAGGTGTCACCGTGCACACAGGGAGCACAAAGGGAGTATTGAGGAGAGAGGCAGGGAGCAGGGAGAAGCAGGATACTCTTACCACCCCAATGCTGCTTATGCCAAGTCCTGCCTTATACACACAACAGACACTGTGTTCAGTTTAGCCCCACTCCCGCTTTTGTCTTCTCTCTCTTTCTCTCTCTACTCTCCCTCTTTCTGTTTTTCATTCTGTCTCTCTTTCACCCTTTGTACCCCCTTCTTTCTCTCTCTTTCTTTCTGTTTCTTGCTGCTTGCCCTCTCTCATTCTACCTCTCTTTAGCCCTGTGTACCCCCTCTCTTTCTTTCTGTCTCTCTCTCTACCTGCCCTCTCTTTCTCTCATTCTATCTCTCTGTTGCCCTCAATATCCCCCTCTCTCTTTCTTTCTGTCTGTCTACTTGCCCTCTCTTCCCCAACTGTCTCCCTCTCATTTGCTCCTCTCTCTCTGTTTCTCCACCCTTTCTCTCTTCTTCCACCACCCTTCTCTGTCCCTCCCTCTTCCTCTCTCTCTTTTCTCTCTGTCTCTCCGTCTTTCTGTGTGTCTCTCTGTTTGGTCTTTCTCCCCCCTCCCTCTCTGCTGTTACCTCCTCTGCTCCGTAGGTCCCAGGCAGGTTGTCTTGCAGTGAGCGTGGTCTGGTCTGGATTGGAGATGTGGGGGCGAGATAGCAGAGCGGGCTAAGAGCCGACTCCTCTATTAGACTGGGCTTTCAACCTCCTCGGACACAAAGAGACACAGATTGGAACGAACTTGAGAGAAACGCAACCCGAGTCAAGACGCACTTCAAAATACCAGACGTACAGCAACAGGCAAAGGGGAAAGGAAGGAAAAAGTGGGCTAAAATGTCGAGTTTATTTTTAGATGTCTTGGGAAAGTCTCGGATAGTGATTTTGTAGGTATTCCTGAAAAAGGCCCAAATTACTGTACTTTCTGATCTATTTTATAATGTTGTTTTCTCATCACAAACATACCTGGAGTTGTGTTTTATTTCATTCACACATTTTTAACACACAAACCCTGCATATTTATAGTCCTTCTTTCAAACTGAATGCACTCTGTTCCTTTTTGTGATGTCATGCTGAAATACAAGAAGTGCTGCATTGTGTTTTTAAACTCCATACACCTTCACTATAATCATTTGGTTGATTTTCAGCCAATCTCTACTGAGCAAAAGGTAGCTGTTAACTTGAAAACTACTACTACATCATGACATCACAAGGTGGAACCGATCATTTTGAGCTTTGGAAATATAGAAAAAGTAATATTGCAGGATTTCTCAAGCGTGTGTGAATGAAGCAAAACACAACTCCAGATATCCTTTTGAGGAACTAACAACATTCTAACGTGGCTCACAAGAATAAAATTTGCATAATATAGGACCTTTAAGTTGTACCAGTTTAAATGAAATAAATAATAATCATTCCATCTTTTGAAAAAAGTAATGAAATGTAAAGAACTTATTTCATTTGTTCTGCAGTTTGAAATCAGTAACCCAGTTAAGAAGGGATTGGCAATCCAGTATCACAGCAAGAAGGCCCTTTTATTTCACTATTTTGTCCTTAAATAATTTCCTATTTGAAATATAGAACTGGCTTCAAAATCTAAATAGCTGCTACCCTCAATAAGCTTCATTTGATTGGAGCTGAACACTACTGTTTATGTCACACTCCGTTAGCCCACTTCTTTATACAGTCAATGGTTGTTTCCCACTGTTCTTGACAGTTCTAACCCTCGTGGCATTGAATGATTGGTCAAATGCAGAGGACAATTTTCCTAGGTATCAATAAAGTACACTTTAAATCGAAATATGTTTGATAAAACATGATAAGTGGAAGCGTAGATTTGTATGGACATGTAGATTTGTGGTATGAACTTTTGACCCCTGTAATACAGTAATAACATAACTGAAAAGTGATAACCTGAGGATGTCTGATACTGCAGGCGCTGGATTCCTTTCGCTAACAAAATCCTTGTGGTGCATTAGTCTTATCAACAGACTCAACCCAACCCAAAATACTTTTTTTGAGAACAAACTAATGACTCAAGGACTTTCTTTTTATCCAAAGTTCCAATACCTTTTTTCATTGCATTGAACCATGTCCCATAATAATGTGTTTACTAGTGCCAGAACTCGTAATCCAGTAAACCCTTTTAGGTATCACGGACAGTTTTTTTTTTTCTTTTTGCAAATTTGAAAATATGTGGTAGAAGCTTTTTAGATTAAATGCTATACAAGAGTTAAGATAATCTATAATCACCACAGGTTGATTTGCGCACACAAGTAGCAGATCCTCCACCTGAAAATTTGTGCAGTGCGCCTTAGTAGAGAGTAATTTCTGGTGTTAATGTGACGGCTAGAGAACTTGACACAGCTTTTAAAATTTAAAGTTTACAATGTATTTTAGGTGTAAAGTAGACCAAGTAGCTAAGGTGAGGTTTTCTGGTTTTGCCTCATATCGTCCTGTAGCAGACCGCCTCTGCCCTGGTCATTATTACACCTGGGACCTGCAGCTGCTCCAGTGAAGTGAAGTTGAAAAATGTGTGCTTTCTGACACAAAATGAGGACACGGTTTCATTTTAGATTTGTGTGACAGCACTTAGCGTCACAGCCTGCCTCAACCTGCCGAACAGGTTTAGTTAAAGGTGTAAGTTACAGTAGTGAAATGTATAGGAACAGGATATGTGCATGTTATAGCTCAAACCATGCATGCACGCTCTGTCACTGCACTGTGCGATCTTGCTTTTGGAGGGAACATGAGAAAGATGACACTGATGTGATAATGAGACCTCACCCTTTGGCTCTGGTAGAAGACAGAAAAGTGGAGTATCCCCAGGAGTGCACAGTCATCAGAAAGAAGCGGTAGCAGTAGCACATGGTCTGCTCAGAGTGGGGCTGTAAGTGAAGCAGCTAATTACCCAGGGACAGAGCCTTTAAACTGTCATACAACACACGACTACTGAGTTAGACTTTGGGTCAATTTTGGTAACAGCACTGATTACATTTAAAAGTCCTATACTCTACTGACTCTTGTGAGCTTTAGTCTTGTTGTAATGTTGTTGTTATCTCATCAAAAACATAGCTGGAGTTATGTTTTGTTTCATTCACACCTACTTGATGAATCCTCTGTTATTAGTCAGTTTACCTCTCCGCCTTCTGATGTCATGAAGCAGTAGTTTTCAAGTTAACAGCTACCGTCTACTTTTTGTTGAATCAATATTGGCAATTCAAGGGCTGAAATTATTCAGATGATTTTAGTGAAAGTACATGGACTTTAAAAACACAGTGGAGCCCTTCCTGTATTATCATCAGATATACTATGTAACTTATAACTTTTCTGGTGAAAGATTAGGCACCTGCTCATCACAAATGATAGGTTATCGCTTTGCACAGTTAGCACAGTAGACACATATTAGTGTCTATGCCCACAGACCAGTGAGTGACATCACCTGGCCAGGTTATAGGTCAAATCTGTGACACAGAGGTGGCACTATAAGAATGTATGTTTTTAAGTTGGTGGATAAATAAGTACATAGGTTTATTGCCCTCCTGAAGAGTATATTCCAAACAAAGCAATTGCATCCCTATGAAAACAGGGGAGGTGGACCTTCCTTCAGAAAAGTTACTTAGTGCATCTTTAAGCATTCATTCTTTTGGGTCAGGAATACGTTTTTGCCTTTAATGTACCTTTAATATCAATATTTCTGACTGACTGTTAACTCGTCTTGGAACCTGTACAAACAGCCTGAGGTCATGATCCCATGTTACTGGACATTACTGTTAATAATACACTCTGTTTACAGATGAAGGACAGCTAGTAATTTAAAAGACAAAAATAGTATAAAACATTTAAATTCTTCTCTTTATGTTATAGAACACCAGAGGGCGCCCTCACAAGCAGAAGGACCACTCATCATACAGTATGTGTACATTACCGGAGCTGTGTCACTCTCAAATGGACTGGAGAAGTTTGTCAGTGTGTTCTGGCTTCCTGGGGGGCACCTCATGTGGTAGGTGGCATCGCTGCATAGCTTCTCACAAGTGTGCCCTTTGTGCTCCGCTGGGCGATATCTCAGACAATAGTGTGAGTTACAGTATGAGGAAAATGGATGGTTCACACTAAGTTTTAGTGAAAAGCAGCATCTGTTGAATGTGTGTGCAGTGACTATAGGCTGCTGTAGTGGGCACGCTGTAGATGTGTGTGTGTGTGTGGGCATTTGGTGGTCTGCTCACTGCACGTGCACTGTGTGTGTGTGTGTGTGCGTGTGTGTGTGTGAGGTGAGGAGGGGGGGTTTATGTGTGTCGAAGATAATTAAGCATCCACAGAAGCGTGTCATTCCTCTATTGTGTGTCAGAGCAGACCGCGGGGGTCCGGAGCGCCAGCGGAAATGCTGATTTAGTCTCACTTTAGCTCCCCCTTCCTCTTGTCTCCTCGCTTTTTATTTAGATTACATCCTCTAGATTTATCTGCCCAATATTACGCTCATTTCAACTGGTTAACAGCTTCCACAAGGACATCTGCGGCCACACATACAGGTGCATCTGACAAAATGAAAATCATGAATAGTGAGAATGAGGACCACTATTTGAGCAGTCGAAGACTAGAGTAAGAAAAAAAACATATTTCATAAGAATAAAAGTTATTAATAAAAATAAAAAAAACAGCTCAATTTGACAGAAACAAACCTTGCCTTTAGCCTATTACAAAATCTTACATGAGTTTGACACTATGTATCACATAAACACAAAAGATATCTTCCTGGGTTCAATATGTACATTTATTTAATCTCTTTTATCAAAAAAATAATTAAAGATGCACTATGTAATTTTTTGGGTTTGGGTTCGTCATAAGCTTGTTTTTATGCATGTGTCACTGCTCCGTTAGGAATGTTCCACAGTATGGCATTAAACAGCTCTACCTTACATTTATTAAATTACAGGTGGCTCAAAAATACCTAGAAAAACAGGTATTCTGACTGTGAGCGGGGTTGCCTTTCCTGAGATCTGACCTGTAACTTGGTCTGGTTTGGTTTTCATGATAGAAAGGGTTAATGCCATACTGTGAAACTTTCACAACAAAGCAATAACATCTTCACAGAGAAAAGCATTTGACGGACCCTCCACCTGTGAAGTTACACAATGCACCTATTAATTTCACATCCTTATTGTATGCTATACGGAAACACACACAACTACCAAAACACAATGACAAATTCCATATTGTATTTTTCTTTATCCTAATCCTAGTTCTTCCCTCCAATTTTTACAGCAGATACATCTCCTTGACCCCAAACATTACCTCCCAACAGAAGCAGCAGACCCGCTCCCTGTGTGGTTGCTGCTTCCATAGGCATTCTTAGCCTGGGCAGTTTTTTCTTGTAGATCTTCCATACCGCTTTGTGCCCTCAGATTTCACGGCACAACATTAACGCGAGCTGACACAGTGGATTAGAGGCAGACAGCTGGAATGCCCGGGCCCTTTGTGCGATGTGGACCACAGCCAAGAGCCCACCACAGCCAGTGAATATAAACACCAAGAGCAAGGCCAAAGAAGAGGTGGGGTTGTACCTGTCCGAAATAAGACACGCCCCCCTGCACCTGAGCTCTGACTCCGCCCCATTTGTGCTGTGGTCAGGGGAAGTCCAGTGAACATGAGACGAGAGAGAGAAGTAACAATAAAAGTACTTAAAAGGCTGTTATGGTTCCTTTTAATAGGCTGTGCTCATGTGTTAGATTTTGACAATTTAAACAACAATTACGTCTTTGGGGTTGAACATAGAAAGTGGACTAAGGGAGTATAACGTTGCCCACAGCGTTCGGCTCCAGTCAAATGAAGCTTACCAAGTCAAGCGGTCATAGGGGCGAATTAAGAGCCAAGTACCATATTCATTACACCAGGATCATGTAGACCAGGTTAATATGAACATTTTAAGACCAAATGACAAGGCTCGCTGCAGCAGTTACAGAGAGGGATGACAATTTTCTTATGTGAAGTTAATTGGAGCAGCAGGAGTCAAATTATATATTATACATTTATATACACAGTCTTTCTGAAAAAAAAAAAAAAAACTTCTCTATATATACTGACAGGGAAGATGTTGATTTTTTTTTTTTTTTTTTTTTTTGTGAAGAGGCCCTAATACAGTACGAAGATATTACCAAAAACCAGGCTGAATGAATCCGCAATCTAAATGTCAGATTCTACCAAAGAAATCTGACCTATCCTTCAGCTAAATTTAAAAATAAAATTGATTTTTGTAGAGCCAATATCTGAATAGCAGTCACTTCTAAGGGCTTCATAAAATGTTTGATATAACCAACATAAGGAACAGAAAATCAAATAATGAAAAAGTCATTGGTCAGTAAATGGAGTGTCTAAATTAATTTTAGGGTCAAGTGAAAGAAATGTAATTAAAATTAAATTATTCAAACACATCAACACAATTAATCTGAATATCTTGGCATTAAACTTTAAATTAATGTTTTTCAAAGCATTTTTGAGCAATAAAACTGAATAAATGGAAGGTAGATATGTTTAAATGTCGTTAATATGATCAACTGAAATTCAGGAGCAGGACCACGCCTCAGCCGCCCTCTCCTCTCACCAGCGAACCACAACTCACCTCGACCACGCCTCTAATTTCCCAGAAGCCTATATGTAGCAGCCTTTCCCATCATCCCAGTTTGTCTCGGCCGTCTCCCCACACTCGCAGCAGTTCTACGAAGATGGTTCCCGGAGAGCCACGAGCAGGAAATATTCACGACACTCCTCAGTTCGCTCGGAGGTCCAAGCCGGCGTGCCTTCTCTAGCCTTCCGAACGCCATGTAACCCACACCTCCACGGCGGACCTCTCCCCGGTGCGTACAAGTTGTAATCTCCTCCTCAGACAGCGGGTCCGTTGCTCTCCTACCCCTCGTTCGCCTCTTCCTGCTCGCCGCTCGCCCGGCAGCAGCCCCGGGCCCGCGTACGTCACGACAATGGTCTCGACCGCCTCTACAGCAGCCCACTCGGAAGTCACCCGAGCTCCCGCCGCAGAGCTCGACTCTGCTCCCGCACTACACTGCACAGGTCCCCGCGCGCACGCTTCCCCGCAGGCGTCCCCGCGGGCTTCTCCCAACAGGTGCGACATCAGAAGCCGGACCGTGGCCGGCCTCCAGCAGGAACTGAAGAAGAAAGGTATCGTTTCCAGCCGCCCGGATAACAAATCCAAGCTGTTCCGTCACTATTTAGATTCGGTCCGAGCCCCGTCACCTCGGGCTCCCAGCCCTCCTCGTTCTCAACCGGCGCGCGCAGTTCCAGTCGCCGACGTCTGCCTCCACAGCGCCCCCTCGCGGGGAGCATGTTGTCTTGTCCCCTGTGCCTGCTCGCTCTGTATTAGACCAACGGGTCGCCTCTCTCTCTCATCCCTGTCTGCGTAGGCTGCACTAAATCCCCATGCACACACATCTAATTCCCCCATCCCTCCTTTATTTTCTCTTATTCCAGCCATTACCAGTCAGATGGTTCTTGAGCTCCACCCATCACCACCACAGCAGCTTCAACAATCTCCTCAGCAGCACTCATGGCCCCACAGGCCCTACAAGCTGCAGAGCACTCTTATCCGTTTCTTTCTTCTGCTCTATCCCCCAAATGTTTTTTCTACTGTGTCTCCTAAGTTGCTTCCACCAATCATTCGTCTCTCGTTCCCTCGATATTCGTTCCCTCGATATTCGTTCCTTCGATATTCGTTCCCTCGATATTCTTTCCCTTATCTCTCCGGTAGCCGCTTATTACCAGTTATTACATCAATCTCGCTCATTCGATCCAGCCCTCCTTCCATCGCAAGCCACCCACGGGATATACCAACCAGCCAGGGCCTCACCTTGCTAATACAACGAACCACTCCTTCGCCATCCAAGAATCTCACCCCCACCAAATTGGCTTTCGCCTTCTCTTTATATTGCAATGCCATCTGCTCCACTTTTGACAACCGGAGAATGGAGTTAGATGACTACCTGGCATTGGTCCTCAATCTTGCGCTGTTCTTCGGCAAGACCGGGATCCACACATATGACGTTCTATTTGCTACCCAAGCGGCAGGAAGGCCCCAGCAAATCAACCATGGTACTTACTGGGGGGTCCTGAATTTTGAGCTCTACTGCAGGGTCATCACAGCTCATGCCTCTCTCTCATGTGCTCTCCACGGAGCTCCCTTCCATCCTGCTTCCTTGCTCAGCGGTCACACCCTCCTGTAATTGTACCTCATCCTCGAAGAACCTAGTGGTTTATTGTCTGTCTTCCACTGCTTCCTCTCTGCCTGTGATTCCTCACTTCCTCAGCCCGCCCCACCGCATCATACCCATCAGTAGAGGCAGTGATCCACGATGCTTCATCCTCCATGAGGGATCGAAGTTCCGCCAGTCCCTTCACAATCGTGTAGAAACCCCCAGTCCTCGCTTGCAGATCCCACCGCTGTGGACAACCATCTGGTGAAAGACGTCATCGAAGGGTTCATGATCGGCCAATTCAAACATCCTCCTCTCGAGACTTCTGCATCAACCCCATCTGCATCGCCACACGCAAGTACACCGGGAAGAAATGTCTCACTGTCGACCTATCCTCCCCTCACGGTACAGCCGTTCCCAGCATCGGCACTCTCATTCCCGCCTCAGTTTTTTTCCGTGCAGTATGCCACCAGCAATCACGTCATCTCTCACTCGTTTTGCAGGCCGTGGAGCGTGGCCCTGTGAAGCGGACATCACCAGCGCCTTCAAGGTCCTGCCCATCCACCCAGATTCCTAGCGTTACTTCGGAGTCTTCTGGGTAGGGTTTTAATACGTTGCTCTACACCCGAGGTTTGGCTGCTGCAGCAGCCCTAGAATTTTGACTCCTTGTCCGAAACCTTGTGTCAGACACTCAACAGCAACTTTAAACTCCCGTACGCCCTACACCTCCTAGACGACGTCCTGGTCACGACTCCTGCGTCTTTCTTCCCTCGTTCCAACCTATTGTCACTCATCAGAGCCTTCT